AATGCACTGGCAGCAGTGGTAGTGGAGTCAGATACTTTAGAGACTTTTAAGCAACTCTTGGATAGGCACATGGAGGATAGTAAATTGTAGGGTAGATTGATCTTAGTAGGATAATAAGTCAGCACAACATCATGGGCTGAAGGGCCTGTACTGTTCTATGTTCTTAAATACAGCTAAAAATTAGTTCTTTATTTTGCCAGCAATCTAGGCCTTTCAGTTACCAACTCACTGACAGGAAGTTTGAATGCTGCCCCAAAGGAAAACCACCTGCTCCTGCTTCCATCGTAATAAAAACTTCCTGCTTCACGTGAAGGGTAAGCAGCTGTTGAGTATTCTTTGAATTAGATTTTTTTGTGGTGGTGACAGTAGTGTGTGGCATGAATTGCTGAACAGTTACTTTGAAAAAATGTAATCTTGTAAAAGATGTTTGGACAAGTATTTCACCTCATTATTCTACAAAACTGACCTGTGCATCTTCCTATTACAGAATTAATGTGCATCTGAGCGGACACACAAGTTTCACTTTCATATCACATCCAAATCAAAGCTGCTGTCCCCACACGTAATATCAACAGATTCTGCAGTGTACTAGTTCAAGTTTTGAAATGAGTCTGATCCCAGCCTTCTAATAATTCAGCAGTAGCATTGCTCACCACACCTTCTCATTGAAAAAATTTAACATGTTAAAATCCATCCAGTTGGCTGAACAACCCCTAGTTACCAAGTTATTAATGCAGAAACAAATTCTCCCAAGACAATCTTCTTTGGATAAAGTTTAAAATATTTAGGAAGAATTTTATAAAGTCTATTGCAACTGAAGAACCTGTTCACTCTTCTGTTAACAGTTGGGGCAGGGGAGTTGTAAAGGCTGGAATGTGAACAAGTTTAACTTAGCAGTTCAGGAACTTCTGGCAGTTTCACTGGGTTATTTCATGGGGAGATGTGAGGTAATGGTAATAAAACTGGAAAAGTAGTTCAGAGCCTAGCCTAATAAACCGGAGGAACACAAGCTCTGATCCATCATTGTAACTAGTTGCTTTAACTAATTTAAATTCCATCTGAAATTGAAAGTTAGTCTCAAATAGGATACCCTCCTACAACCACCAATCCTTTTTTCTTTGAAAATGACAATTGGCTGACTAATGCATGCTTTGGCCTTTATTGCTAGGAGGTTGGAGTTTAAAAATAGGGAAGCCTTGTTACAACAGGGCAGGGTGTTGGTGAGGCTGCACCTAGAATATCATCTATAGGTTTGGTCTCCATATTTGAGAAAGGATACACTGCCATTGGAGGCACTTCAAGAAATTCACTAGGCTTATTCTGGGAATGAAAGGGTTGACTCAGCAAAACAACTAAACAAGCTGGGCCTTTATTCACTACACTTTAGAAGAATGAAGGGGTGATCTTAATGAAACATACTGTATAGTGAGGGGGGCCTGACAGGTTAGAGGTTGAAAAGATGTTCACACTAATGGGGGAATCTCAAACTAGGGGACAGTTACAGAATAAGGGGACACTCATTTAAAGCTGAAACACAGGATTTTCTTCAGAAAGTGGTGAATATTTGGAACTCTCTACACCAGAGAGTTGTGGAGGCTAGATCACTGGAAGTATTTAAAGACGACGTGGCTGAAGGCTTGAATTGAGACACTGAGGGTTACGAAGAGCTGGCTTGAAGGAGTCAAGGCCTGGGGTAGATCAACAATGATCATTAGAATGGTAGTTAAGGCTTAAGAGCCAAAATGGTCCACTCTGTTTCCTATTTAATGTCTGTTTGCAAGTAATTCTTACAGCAAATGTGGCTGACTCTCAACCACCCTCTGAAATGGCTGAGCGAGCCACTCAGTTCAAAGGCCAATCTGGTGAAAGAATAAAGAAAAATAAAACTAAATAAAATCAGAAAACTTTAGGCAACACAGATGTTATGTTGAAGCATAAGCCAAAAGCTTTCCCATGGCAGATGGTGTAGTACAGGGCTTCAGGATCAAGTTAATAAATTGCATATTCGGAACCCTGTTATTTTTAAAACAGGGCTATAATCTCAAATTTGGAGAGTCAGTGTCAACTGTACAGCATAGGTTTGTTTCACATTAGATATTGTCACTTTTTCCACCAGTCATTTGAAACATCTCAGTCTGATTAATGCACAGAATTCAGTTGTACACAATTTTAATAAAAAACAAAGCACAAAGGATTACTTTTACATAAACAATTTACCTAATCTAATTGAGCGAGCTGATGTACTGAATGATTAGTATTAAGCTCAAACTAAAATTGTTCTAAAAACAATCACAATTTCAGAGTCAGAATCAATGGGGAAATAAGGGCCCTCACTACTGACAACGAAAACTCCCCTAATGCCTAATGAGCTTCATGGCAGGCACTCCCGTTTTCCAAAGACAATCTGAATCTGCCATGTATACGGAATCTCCAAGGGTTCTTCAACGGTGAAGTCATCAAGCAGAAGTAGCAGTTCATCGCTGACACATTCTCTCAAACAGCAAATCAGGCAGCAAAACATACTGATCATTTTTCCACTCTTACAATTAAAATTTTACAAAGCAAAATAAGTGATTAGACATAGGAGATTAAGAAATAACAAATTCAGAACCTCAAAAACATGCATTATTGAGATGGAAACATTTCACAAATAGAGATTAAAAAACCCAGCTTTTCCAGGGGCAGTAAGATTGTCAGTAGAAGATCAAGTTAGAACCCCGTCTTGTTGAACAAGGTACATTTTCAAGCAGTTGTGTAATACATGCATCACTGTAAAAGGACAAGCTTTTGTCAGGTCAGTGATTTCTACTTGTGTGGGGAGGTGGGGAAAAATTCAACAGCGCACTTTGGAAAATCACAGAGGTTGCTGTCAGTCTCAGTGGATGTATTGACAACCAGTTGAGTTTAATTGTCATTAATAATGCAAATCCAGGTCATCAGTTAGAATTTTACCCCAGTTATTTTTTCTTAGGATATATATAATACACACACACATACTGGCACTTGTATTCCTTCCAGATGTAAAATAAGTATCTAGCACAAATCTCTTCAGTATGTACAATGCAATAGTAAGGAAGATAGCTATTCAATTATAGGAGGATATAGACAGGCTGGTTGAATCAGTGGCAAAGATAATTTAATCCAGATAAGCCAGACGTTATACACTTGGGCAAGACAAACCAGGCAAGGGAACACATGACGATCACTAGGACCTTGAGAAGCACCAAGAACGAGAAGCACCAAGAACCAGAAGGACCTTGGTTTATGTGCTCACCAGTCCCTTAATGTAGCAGGCCAGCTAACTAAAATGGTTAAGGAGGCAGATGGGATACTTGCTATCATTAACCGAGGCATAGAGTTTAAGAACAAGAGAGGTCAGGCTGGAACTGTGTGAAGAGTTGGTTAGGCCACGGCTACAGTATTGTGCAAAGTTGGGCATTCACATCACTGGAGGGATATGATTTACCAGGACATTGCCTGGACTGGAGAGTTCAGTTATGAAGAGAGATTGGATAGACTGGGGTTGTTTCACTGGGGCAGAGAAGACAGAGGTGGGAAATGATTCAAATGCATAAAACTGAGGAGCATAGACAAGGCAGACACCTTCCCACTTGATGGCAGGATCAATGACCAGAAGTATAGATTTAACATAAGGGCCAGGAGGCTTAAAGGGATGAAAAGGAAGAATTTTTTTTCACCCAGAGGGTGGTGGGAATCTGGAAATCTCTTCTTGTAAGGGTGGTGGAGGTAAAACACTCAACATTTTAGTAGTATTTACATGTACACTTGTGATGCCAAGGCATACAAGGTTATGGGTCAACTGATGAAAAATGGGATTGGAATAGTTACGTGGTTTCGTTTTGGCCAGAGCGGATCAGTGGGCCAAAGAGCCTTTTTCTGTAATGTAGACCAATATGACTCTATTTCCAGAGAAACAAGGTGTAGAGCTGGATGAACACAGCAGGCCAAGCAGCATCAGAGGAGCAGGAAAGCTGACGTCTCGGGCCTAGACCCTTCCTCAGAAAATTTTCTGAAGGGTCTAGGCTCGAAACGTCAGCTTTCCTGCTCCTCGGATGCTGCTTGGCCTGCTGTGTTCATCCAGATCTACACCTTGTTATCTCAGATTCTCCAGCATGTGCAGTTCCTACTGCCTCTGACTGTATTGCCAGTTTGGACTCTCAACTACTCCCTCCCTTGCACTTTGGTCTTTAATATGCGAAGGATTTTGAAGAAACAGCTATACTAGACAATATTTCTCCTTCAACTAACACCACTATAAACAACTTACCTAGATAGTTATTTATTTGTGCTTCATAGAACCTGTGACTAAAAACTGATTCCACGTATATCTACATAATTACAGCAACAACATTTCAAAAATCATTTGTGATTGTGAAGCACCTCTGGGACATTATTAGGTGCTTGTATAAAGATCTTTTTTTCCTCAGTATGTTAATCTCAAGTGTAATTTGTCACTAGAACTTATGGAACAGGCAAATATTTTATTACAATGAGCATTGTAATGTGAATCAATGATAAACTTCAGAACAAGTAAGTGATTTGTCAAAAATGTAATTAAAGCTCTATTGTTATTTACCAAAAAAAAAGCAAATACTGTGCAGGATTTCCTCCACCCCCCACAAAGAATCCCACCAAAATCAGTTCTCCCTCTCCTTTCATGGAAAAGGAAACTGAAAATTTACACTTGGGGGAGGAGTTCAGCATTCACCAGATTTTTCAGCTAAACAGGAAATATTACCTGATGAAAAGACATTGTGGATACAGTGATTTTTTAAAAAAATGGAGGTAATGACTCTCCAAATTAAAACAGGTAAACTACACACTTCGTATTTAAAGAGACAGATCTTTTCTTACAATAGAAAACTGCTAGCAACAAGTATAGTAAAGCTTTCAGTGCAGCCTATTTGAGGGATACATAGCTAGCCTTTGTTACAACTTCCAAGTCCATTCCATACAAATTAAATGAGTCACTTTGAAAATCATAAGAGGGCTGACAATTTATTAAATTTCATCACCAATATTTTAGAGCAAAGGCTCCTGGTCCTTAATCAGTGTATTTGATTTCCTTTGCATGTTATTGTCAATGTCTACACAAGACCTCCAAAGGCTTGGTTGTGAACGCATTTGCATTTTAACGGAAATGAACCACATTGTTTATGACGGACATAATTACCAGTAACATACAATATAGTGAAACATTTCCTGCATTTCTTTTCCAAAAAGGAATTAGTCAGTTGCAACTGACCAAGAAAAATACAATATTGTTCCTACAGTGTTAATGTGTGCAGTGACCACCATGTTGTCATATTTGACCAGCATGGTATTTTGAGTTTAGTGAATCACTGACCATCATGAATTAAAATGGTTTTATCCACCACCTGCATGACATGATATGTTCCATGGCATAAAATGTTCAAGAACTAAAACAGGAAAGCATTATTGGTCAAAGACTTCAATTTTAGGAGGTGCTGGATATACCATGGCACTGAAGCAATATAGTTTTCAATATTCTCTCTCTTCATTTTCTTTGCTCCATTTCTTGTTGGAAACAGCACCTTGGTGTCTCCCTGTTCTGCAACCTTTCATCCTTCCCCTCCTGTGCTCCTTCTACAAGTCCCCTGTCAAAAAGCAAGTGACACTGTTTGTCTCTATCCTCTTGCATTTCCTGCTGGGTAAACTGTCTCATTGCTTCCCAAATTCTGCACAACATATCTTCTTTCTCACTCTCGTTTTTCTGCTGCCGCCGGTTCTTGATTCCTTCCCAATTTTTACGCAGCCGTTTTTGTCGCTGCTCATCAGTTTCCTGTTCACGGCGCCTTTTAATTCCATCCCAGTTCCTACGTAACCTTTGCTCTCGCTCTTCCTCGGTTTCTTCCTGCCGACGAACTTTGGTTGATTCCCAATTTTTTCGCAGTCTCTCTTCTCTCTGCTCCTGTGATTCTTGTTGTCGCCGATTTTTTATGGATTCCCTGTTTTTGCGCAATCGTTCACGCCTCTGCGCTTCAGTCTCTCTTTCACGGAACCGTTTCATGGCCTCACGGTTCTTACGAAGTCTATCATCTCGCTGCTCCTCGGATTCCATTTGACGGCGCACTCTCATCGCCTCTCTGTTTTTGCGCAGTCTATCTTCCCTCTGTTCTGCAGTCTCTTCTTCCCGATGCTTTTTCATGGCTTCTCTATTCTTCCTTAGTTTCTCTTCTTTCTTCAAGTCCACAGCCTGTTTCTCAGCTAACAGCTCTCCAATCACTGGATCTTGAAAAGACAGACAAATACAGCTAAGAGCACTTAAAACTGTGATGGTTCCCACACTGGAGACCAACATTGATATTCTACGGTAATGTTTTCAAATAATAGCGTATTGCTACTTATTGTTGGTTCAAAAGATAAATTATATGAACTGCAGCTTTTTAAATAAATTTGATGAGAGATTAATGCCACTCATTTTCAAGACTGGAGTCCACTGGTAAGATGGGGTTGCAACATGCAGGTGAAGCAGGTCAATGTCATAAATTAGCAGTATAAGGTCGTAGCAACAATTTCACCAGTTGCCATTTTTGTCTAAGGCAGTGTTGGAATATGGTAAGGAGGTGTGCTAGATGCTTACTCAAGAGGATATGGAAAAAATATGGATGCATACGCATATAGGGAGGTCATCATTAAGTTATCTGAATAAATCTCACAACGGGTTGCTCAAGGGTAATATTAGCAAATATGGGATACAAACTTGCCCTTGTAGCTAATAGGTCATTGTAGAAACAATGCGGATGCAGAAAGCCTTTAAAATAGAGCAAAAATAGCAAAACAGACAAAAATCAGTTAAAAGTAAATAATTTTTCTCCCCCATATTCAATTCCTATTCGTTGAATGAAATTTGTCCAAATATCAGGGTCACAGGCTAAAGATGGTTACTGAGCCCAGTGATATGAGAAGCTGAATTATCACATTTACAGTTGAAATAACTCTCTCTGAACGAGTTTGACTATTTATCTATTGACGTCAATTCAGCCTCCTCACTCAGCTGGAGTGAGTAATGATTGCCATTCAATTTTTTTGGAAGTTTATCAAGAGGCATTTTTAATGGTTTATTTTGTCACGATGAGAAAGAAAAAGACATTCTATTGGGAAACTATCACTTATTACAGTTATTTTTACAATGCCTCCAAGAAATTACATTACAAACAAGTTGACAAATAGGACAAAGCCAAAGTAGAAACTGCAACTGCCAGTGTTGTAAAGCACAAAAACAAAATAGAATGCGAGAAAAGGAAGGACAAAATTTAGAACTAAAGGAAAAGGAAAGCCAATTTGTCTAAAACACCTGTTCCAACACTCAAACAGCTTGCCAGATGATCCAATTTCACTTCACTTTTCCCAAACCCTTTTAATTTGTTTTTAAAATGGTCATTCACTTCCCTTTTAAGTGCTATCCTGTCTCAACTACTGTTTCTAGTCAGGCATTCTTGATTTTCACCTTTGCAGTTGAAACATTATTTTCCAGAACACTCCCTTAATTCTATTGTTGAATAATCCTAACTTCATACCTGCAGGTTACCTACTCAATCAGCAACGAGAAATTTTTTCCCATGACCGTAATTTTTCATTTGCTATTGGATTTCATCATTTAGTTTTTTGCTTTGATGAATCAGAATCTACACTTTAAACATTAGTGTTTAACATTACTTTTAGAAGCTGCTCAAACTGCCATCCATTTTTCACATTTTCTTGCTGCTATCATTTGTAGTAATTTGATATTATTGTCTTGTGCTCACGCAGAAGTTCAATTTGCTTTTGCTCTGGTCCACAATTGACAAAAAAAAGCTTTCAAAAAGAAACAAACACATTATGTTGGAATATGCAGCACTCAGTGATACAACACAGGTCTATTAGAGATCATATCCCTGTAAGCCATTGGAGATGCAAGGAGCAAAACCAGGTCAAGAGAATGTATTGACTGATATTGACAAGACTCCACTGTCAGAGATCATACTTAAGGGGCCAAAACTTTGGCTTTAAACTAATCTTTTATTCAAGAATGATTGCCTGCCCATTACTACTTGCATTCTTCATACTCCACTTTTTAAAAATGATTCAATTTGCTTGTGGCCAAAGCGCTATTGGGCAATTTGTACCACAAAATACTGAAACCAAGTTCCTTATGTACCAAAACACGAGTGTTTCTAGAGCCACTAAAAATCTGTCAGATTGAAGACCTTTCTCTTCTCTGCCAAAGATCCCAGGTCCTTAAAGCAGACGTTATACTGATTCACCAAGGTGCCATTTCCCCCTCCCCTCTCCCTTCATTTAGGCAGGCTACTTACAAAGAAATATAATGGGTTTTAGAATGGAGTATGGGGTGCAAAATGTGCTGATAATAACTGAAGCAATGCCAAGCAGTTGGTTAAAGTGATACCTTTGTTTATTCCCCAATTTCAAACCCTTGGCTCTTTTTTTATTTTCCTGACAAATAGAGTCATACAGAATGGAAACTGATCCTTTAGTCCAACTAGTCCACTAGTTCCCAAACTAAACTAGTCCCACCTGCCTGTTTTTGGCCCATATTCCACCAAACGTTCTCTTCATGTACTTATCCAAATGTCTTTTAAACTTTAACTGTACCTGCATCCACTACTTCCTCTGGTACTTCATGCCACACACTAACCACTGTAAAAGAAAAAAATTGCCCCTCATGGCCTTTTCAAAATCTTCCTCTTCTCACCTTATAACTATGCCCCCTAGTCTTGAAATCCCCCACCCTATGGAAAATAACCTTTGCTATTCACCTTATCTATGCCCCTCATGATTTTGTAAAACTTTAAGGTCATCCCTCAACCTCCTACAGTCCAGAAAAAAAGGTCCCAACCTATTTCTTTAACTCAAACTCTCCATTCCTAGTAACATCCTAGTAAATCTTTTCTGAACCCTTTCCAGTTTAATAATATCCTTCCTTTAACAGGGCGACCAGAACTGAACACAGTACTCCAGAGGAGGCCTCACCAACATCCTGTACAACCTTAAGACAATATCCAACTCCTATACTCAAAGTTTGAGTAATGAGGCAAGCATGCTAAATGCCTTCTTGACAATCCTGTCTCCCTGTGACACAAACTTCAAAGAATTACACACCTGAACTCCTAGATTCTACAACATTACCCAAGGCTCAATGTTTGAGGCTTATTCCAGTTCTTTACTATACTGACCAGCACACTTACACAAAGACGCTGCAATTTATATTTACTTACAGGATTTGATTAATCTATTTACGATTTCAATTAAATGTTTCCATCAATATCTTAAGTGAGTAAAAGGGCTATCTGGTGTATTAATCACTTCTCCAAACCAGAGAAAACCTGTGTTTGACCCATAGCTAATGGGATAAACTGGAAGGGGATAAAGAGAAAATGAAATACTTAAAAAGTAAGGAACCAGCCAGGGTTTCATGCCTCTTTGCTATTAGTCACATGTGGACATCAAGAGAAAACAAGACAGGTTCAGCTCTGATGTCCCTGTGGTCAAATTCTGCCAACACTCATTTTTATCACAAACATTGGCAGCTGGATGAAGTGTTGTAAAGTAAGTGGTACTTGGGAGAAAAGCCAGTGTTGAACACTTTCATGAGTAACATGGGAAGTAAATGAAAAATATGTTAAACATTTTCAGCTAGTGCAAGTTTTAACAAGCTTAGAGACAGATTGAAAATATTAGTTGCAAACAATCATTTTCTTCAAAGGATGATGCTTTGGAGCAATAGGAAGTAAATTTGATATTGGGTCAACTCATACTCTTTGCCAGGACCAGCAAGAGGCAGAAAGTTAAAGTGAGCTGTTATTCCAAAAACAGACAGAACAGTTAAAAAGAAAACTAGATAAATCAAAGGTTGATTTGCTCATCATGCTAAATCTGAAAGCAAAAGTGTTTGAGAACTTTACAGGTGAACTTAATATAGGTTTGAGAACCTGAGCGGACGTTAAAGTACTAACATTCTTTTTACAACATTGACCTGCCTGTCCTAAGGCTGCATGCTTAAAGCTTGTCAGTGTAAGCAACATAAACATGCATGGGAAATTCTGTGATCAGCAGTATTAACTGGAGATAATGGATATACTGATCATTCTTACTGATCCTCCAGGATACTCTTCAAATCTAGCACAGAAAACGTACTGGCTCTGAGCTGAGAGGCCAAACTCTGCCACAAGTTAGTGGCAATCTATTCTATAGTCCAAGTAATTCTGAAGTTAAAACAAAGATATTGTTTACCTGAAAATAACAATTCTACCAATCAAGAATATATTTTTTTCCCCCAAGTACTTGGGTGTACATAATTTATTTGTTAAAGTTATGAAAACTTACTAAAAATAAGCTAGTTGATTTTCTGCACATTGCTTAAAATGAGCAACAGCATGTTATTTTATATCAATTGGGTAACATCAATCTTGACAAGGAAATCAGCACAAGAGGCAAATTCAGCAGTAATATTTAAAACAATATGAAGCAGTATGACACTTAAAATAAATATCCCTCACACTTCAGAGGCATTAAGGCAAAATTTGACACTGAGTCACATAAGATATTAGGACAAATGACCGAAAGCTTAGTCAAAAAAGTAGGTTTTACCAGGTATCTTCAAAGAAGGGGCCGGATATATAACAAAAAAAGAAAAAAATCTGTACTGATATAGGGAAAAAACAGAAGGGTGGGTCTGTTTGGAGAGTTCTGTTCAAGAGTTGACAGACACATTGAGCCCCTTTTGGTGAATCCATGATTTGAAGAGGAAGCAACCTGGACATGTACAAAATGCTTGTCAGAGGTTAGATTTTTAGTTCATTGCTAGGCAATCTCTATAGTCTGTGTTTACAGTTATTGTAGAAGATATTATGCATTTTACTTAGAATAGGCTCAGAAGGGCTATAGCACCACTGCTGAAGCAAATAAGAACAATGATTTATTTAAAAAGAAAGGGGTGTCCTATTCAGGTTCCTGCATTTTAGGAAGGATATGAAGGTACTGGAGAGAAGAAAATATTCACAAGAATGGTTCCATAAATGAGGAGTTTCAGTTATGAAAATAGCTTGAAGAAGTTCAGACCTTTCTTCCTTGGGGAACAGAAGGCTGACAGGAGATCTGATAGAAATATATTCAAAGTCATTAAAGTTCTGCACAGAGTGAATAAGGAGAAACTGTTCCCACTCATGAAAGAACTGGTAACAATAAGGTACAGATTTGGAGTATTTGCTAAAACATTTACACACAGTAAGCAGTTAAGTTTTGCAACTCCCCGAAAATTTAGTGGAGGCATGTTCAATGAAGCATTCCAAGGGATTAGACTGCTCTGAAAAGGGGGAGTACATGGGGTTACAGGGAGAAGGTAGGCAAATGGCAGAAAACGAATTGTTTATTTGGAGTGTTGGCACAGACAAGATGGCTGAATGGCCTCCTTATGTGCTGTAACACAAAAATAAACTAGTCATATTGTTCATCAATGTACTAAGTGTCACAATCATGACAAACTAAAAAAAACTTAATTTTAAAAATTATAGATGGCTTTGCAATTTAAATATTACTTACATATAAACAGCTTACCATGTGAAAGTGGAAGACCTTTTAAAGACAGTTCAGTCATAGTTCTTCTGAGGTGATCCCAATCTATAAAGATACAAAAAGAATTTTTTAAAAATATGATTGCCAAATTCCCAAAAAAAGTGCCTGCCATTTCTGAGGAAGCAATACAGCCATAAAAGTGAACAATACAGCAAGGCACGCCAAAGAGGTTTCACTATCAAGGACACAGCTCAATCAATAATGTCCTTTAGCTTTCTTACACCAGCAGGTATTGTTAATATCAGAGATGTAGCCTTAAAGCAATTGCTAAGGCCAACTTCAAAGGATTAAGAGTTTGAAAGATTTAGCACTCACTCTGCATATTAATTTAGCAGCCTCAAATGCAAACCCTTTCAAGGCAGCAGTTCTGATGAAGCCACCAACATTTCTGTTATCAGCTCACTGCTTAAGTAAGCTGATAACAGAAGGCAATATAGAAACAAGTGGAAGGTCTCATAGATATTAATGACATCAATGGATATGGGGATAAAGTAGGAAAATGATGTTGAGGTAGATGATCAGCCATAATCTAGAATGGCAGAGAAAGCTCAAGGTACTGAATTGCATGCTCCTGCTCCTAGAAATCTTTCTACATGTTGTTTCCAAATCTTGTGGTCACCAAGTTGTAAAATAGTTCTTGATGGTGAATCTTCTACTTTAAAAACATTTGCAAACTTATAATAAAAAGCTATTTGAATATGGAGAATTATGGTTGCTCTTCCAAAGCTCAAAACTTGTGTTTCCTGCAAAAACAAAAACTTCACACAGTTCTTTTCTCAAAAGGAAAAATTACCCCTGCCCTTAGCTTCACAGCTGTTGCTGGGTATGGTTCTAGGGTTGCTAGTAGTTCTCCAATACTCCACCCAAAAGACTACTAATTCTTTGTGAGCCTAGACAATCAGCAGGGAAAGCATCACAGTTAAACCCAATTATGCCCTGTCTGGTGTTCTGTACCTTGGGTGAAGCACTGAAGAGCAACAGGCACTTGTGGAGCCATACCCCAGCATGAGTCAGCACCTACAGGAAAGGGAGGGAGAAAATTGAGGGGACAGAGTTTAAAAATACATGTATAATTTAGCATTCTCTCCAATAAGCTGTCAATTTCTACTGCTCCCGACTTCATGTGCTGCATCTTTCTTGTTGTTGTTTTATGAGGAAACATCAGACATGTTTAGGTTTGAATCCAATGTAGAATAGAAGGGTGGGAAGTGTTTTGATTGAAACATACAAGATGCTGTTAAGTTTTGACAGGTTGGATGCAGAAAGGATGCTTCCTCTTGTTAAAGAACCTAGAACCAGGGAGACACTTCAAAAATAAGGTTGAGTGTCTTTGGAGCTGGTTCTTTAAAAAAAAGTCTGAATATTTTTAAGGCAACGGTATAAAAATTCTTGATTAGCAAAGGGATGAACGTTTATCAGGGGTAAACAGGAATGTGAGATCAGGCATGGTCTTACTGAATGGCAAAGCAGGCTTGAGGTGTTAAGTGGCCTATACCTGCTCCTAAATCATATGCTCATAGCTTCTTCCCTGTATCGATCAATGACCTAGATTTATTTTTAAGCTGACTACACCAACAATGCAATAAAAGTAACAGAAAGGCTGAATAAAATTTAGTACCTCTATCACATATCAAAGTTAACACTGGTATTAACAATTATTTAAGGGTATCAGTAATGTCGATACCAAAGTACTGTAACGGTCAGGAATCAAAACCAGTGATTTCTGCCTCAAACTCATACTGCAATCTCAGAACTCTGCAGGTGGACTGCAGCTCATTTGAACCTTTACTCCTTATTAATTTGTTTGAGGTTGTTGCCTGGTTTTCTACGTATCATCCATTAGCAGGATCCCGTGACTATATTGTGCAGTTTTTAAAAATTTAATCCTATTAATTACTTTTCAAAGCACTGTCACACAATGACCTGGACATTCTCCATAATATTCTTTGTTTGCCTCTCCAGGAGCCAGCAAAGCATTAACAGCTGGAATGTCCTGTCCTCCCTTCTGTGCTGTAACCATTCTATGATTCCTGCTAAGTTAAAATCTCAAAGGTAACATCTTTCCACTAACACCTAAACAGCCATTTATCATCACGTATAAGATTTCACAAGTGTCAGCAGGCTATCTGACTGCACAGTGCACCACAGTAAACCCAATGTTGGACTCATTCAATCTCCAAACATACATTGCATTTTCTAGAGGGCATCATCTCACAGCAATCCGGAGTAGGAACCCTGGCTGGCTTTCCCACTCCTGAACTCTGGCTTCTAGGAATAAATGCAGCAACCCCAAGATCAGCTATTTCAACATAGCCCCTGAACAGAGCATCTTCCTGCTCTGAGAGATTCTGGGACAGTTTCTTTAAAGAGGCAAAATTCCTACAAGTACAGAATAATACAAATTCCTTTCTTAAATAGAATGAATATAAATCTGGAACAGAAAGTCTAAATTCTTATATTTTGTTCCTCAAATATAAAGACTCAAAAATATGTTCACAGAATGATTCATTTTTAAATTGGAAAAAAAATCAAATCCAGAATCAGTTTTGTGCTGCCAAAAGTTAATTAAAAATTCAATTATTTCACTGATATCTGGTCAAGGTCATTAGATAAGGTTTGGCGTACACCAAACATTTCCAACATCAGGTTAGTGAATCTCGAAGTATTTTATAATTTACATGCTAAGCAAAGTATGCACTGTAATCCCAGTACCCCAAGAACTGTCCTCTATTTGTTCACAATCAGTACATAATAAAAACATTTTCTCTCAACAGCAGCATTTTTTTTGGATCGTGAGCACAGTATCCTAGAAATGTTAGCATTTGCAGATGATCCTGTTTTTATTTGCAGAGAAATTCACAGACGTTAGACATTGCACTGAAGTAGAACTGATTATTTCAAATAAGTAGCTACAGACATACTGTCCACAGTTGTTAGAGATTTTTAAAGTCTTACCACAAAGAAAAGGATGCCCATTCGAAGACAGTTCATTCATAGTTCTTCAGGGATAATCCTGTCTCTACAAAGAAAAGCCCTGAAATATTACCTCTTGTATCGTAATTGTCTCTACTCTAAAATAAAGCATTTTAACTTGCAACAAAATAGATTATTTAAAAATAAGAGGACTCTCTTTTAAACAATAATGTGTCTATTTCTTTCTGAAACGTTGTTAGGATGTGCAATTTTCTATCCCAGGAAAGAAATGCAGACTGATTGACAGATTTTATTCAAAGACACGCTGGACAGACTTTTGTTAGGCAAGAAATTCAAAGGTTATGCATTTCTGTGTGAGAATGTGCACGAGCAAGTGACAGAGAGAGAGAGAGAATGTGTGTCGGGGTGGCAGTGGTGGTTTTGGCAGGTAGGGTTTGTCTAAGTGAAGCGAAGGCCACTATCAGATCAGTCATGATCTGATTAAGCAGCAAAGAGCTGAATGGCTGACTCTGCTGCTCAATCCTACGTTGCTATGAAATCCGGCTCAGGTTGATGCCTCTGGATGAAAACCCAGAATAATTTTCTCCTGAAAACAGTTAAAATAGAGATTATTTGAAAGTTGATGAGGTAAAAATTAAAACGATAGTGAAGTTGTGAAAGGCATCATATAAATGCAAACTCTTATTTTAAAAAAACATTAAGAGCTTGTACAAACACCGCTTTTAAAAATAGTGCTTTTAGAAGTAAGATACAGTTCACAGCAGAATTATCAAACAAAATTTGACACTGAACTATATCAAAGATCCTGGGGTCAACGATCAAAACTTGGAAGTAGGTTTTAAGGAGTGGTCTTTTAAAAGGAGGTAGAGCAGTGAGCTTTAGGGATGAAATTTAGCTGCCGAATGCGTGACCAACCATGACAGAGGAATTAAAATCAGGAATTCTCAAGGTGCCAGAATTGGTGGAATGTTGAATCCTCAGAGCTGAAGGTACTATGGAAGAATAAAGCAAGATAAAGATTTGAAACCAAAGATGAGAATTTAAAAATTGAAACAATGGTTAACTGGAAGTCAGTGTAGGTCAGTGATCTCAGGCAATGGGTGAACATAGTGAGAGTTAGGACAGAGTTTTAGATGACTTCAAATTTATCGAGACTAGAACGTGGGATGCTAACCTCTCAGGTTGAGAGGTAAGAAATATCTGGAGGAGGATTTCAGCAGATGAAGCGCAGTCAGGCAAAGTTAGGAAATTGAAGTGAGCAACATGCATAATGGAGAAAACACACGGTCAGAAGTTCATTTCAGGAATCAATATGACACTCAAGTTGTGAACAGTTGGGTTCAGCCTCAGGGAAGATGCCACAGCATCCAAGTGGACTTTGTAGTTTCCAGAATGGAATTTGAAGCAGGGACAAAAGACAATGGCTTTTGTCTCACCAACAGTTAGTTGGAAGAAACGTCATCTCATCCAGCAGATGATATTGGGACAATCTAGAGACAGCAGAGGGGCATAGGGTAGTGATGTTAAGCTTGATGACATTCTACATGTGGAAACATGTTGCGCTGTCCTATTCCTGTGCTTTAGACATCTATGACTCTACAATGTCACCAAGAAACATGTAAATGAGAAGCCATGATAATGCATAATTTACTACTCTGATACAATGCAGGTTCTCATTTTAAGGCCATAAAGTCAAATTATTTTTAAAGCAAACTTTAAATTTGGTACACAGAGCGGAAGTATTATTTGACAAGGAAACCGATTGGATAATGGTTGAATTCAGGAGTGAAGTCAGAAGGGTTAAGTGATTCACTTTGTTTTAGTAAGATTGGTTTAAATGTAGGACAAACTGTGATGTTTGACTGGCAAAGCATATTAATTATGAGCCATCCGATGATGCTTTCCACTGCAAGCCAGACCCACATCAGACTTTTGATTAATTTGATTAGTTGATTAATTTCAAACTTTCAAAAATCTTTCACAGGCTAACATATACCTAGGTTCACTTTGCATAAAAAGAAAAACTATTTAATTGGGAATGTTTAGGAGGAGTTATGTTTCAGGACATCAGCAGCTTCTAGTGTTGGACCTGCATTAAATGCTGTGGAGATCTGCATTGAAAAAGACCTCAAAACAGGATTATGTTGCACCATGCCCTATACTTAGTTTAACTAATTACCAGGTAGTCCCTTCATAATGCTGCATCTTACACAGACTCAGTCATAGGTTTCCTTTCCACCTTTACCGAGTTGCCTCCCCTTGCTAGGGTCAACAATATGGTCAGTGTTTGACAGCTTTTTTTGGGCGTGGGGTAGAGAAAAGAGGCCATCAGGCAAAGTTCCTATCCTGCCCAATGTGCTGCAACCATATATGAAAAGTACACATGGGTTTAATGTCAGGACAATACTGTGCTCAGCTGTAATGCCACTGTAGTCAAATAGTCTAGTACACTTTCAAGCTCACACGGCAACTTCTGCAAGGTCTCAAAGCACATGATTGCTAGTACCTTGCATTAATCAGTAAAAAGGGAAAAAGAATCCCACAGCCTCATTATTATCGATAACAATTACACAAAGACAGTCTATGAAGCACAACTACATCAAATGATAAAAGCACAAAGCTATTCTGAAAACAGAACTTACAATATTCATGACAATGAGAGTGTAAGTTTATTAAACTGTGCTGTCACTGAATAGGGCCCACAGTTCTATGTTTGATATGTCTCTAAGAACGAGAGTTTGACTGTCATACAGCACAGAAACAGGCCTTTTGGTCGAACTTATCTGAGCCAACCATACATCCTAATCTGACCTAGTCCCGTTGCCAACATTTGGCCCATGCCTCTCTAATTCCCTCCTATTCACATTCCCATGCAGAGGCCTTTTAAAATGTTGTAATTGTACCCGCCTTCACCACTTCCTCTCAGTTCATTTCATATATGCACCACGCTGTGCATGAAAACATCACCCCTCAGGTCCTTTTTAAAATCTTTTCCCCCCCTCATCTTAAACCTACGTCCTTTAGTTTTGGACTCCCCCACCATTGGAAAAAGACCTTGGCTTTTCGTCCTAGCCATGCCCCTCATGACTTTATAAATCTTCTTCATCCATATCCTTCCATTTTCACCATTTGACTCAATTAGTCCCTACCCCCTATATCACCCACCATTTCGTGGCTACTTCTGAGATGTCTGCCAATTCTGGACAACTTTTTAAGACAATTTCAAAAGGAAAAAAACTTCTTGTCAATGCTCAAGACCCATTACCTCTGAAAATATGAGCAGCATGATTCATGAAACATCAAAACTCCCAATTTCCCATTCATGTCCAAGACATGATATGGCACTATTCATTGAGGTCCTTTCAACAACACGAGGGCAAAATTTTGGAAATCCCTATAGACCATTCAGCATGGGAACTCCAGATGGATGAGTGTATTCAGCATCACTTGCTGCATTATGAAGTCTTACTTTAGGTGTTCACATGTTACAAAAATTGTCTTAGTGAACAGAGAAACCTCACTACATTTGCGAATTACAAATGACCAAGCCCAACTTTAATTTTTGATCGGTGCTAAATCAACTGATCCTGGCTAGGAGATCTACAGGTACTCACACTGGGGATAACAGCAGAAACTTGGCAATTATCATTAACAAGGAAATCCATTGGAGTTTGTGAATCCAAATCAGAAGTATTAAGTGATTTATTTTAAAATATAAAATAAGATTGATTCAATTCTGGGACAAACCGAGAGGTTTAGCATACAACCAAAGTGCATATGTATCTTTTGTTGTCAGATTACTTGTGGCCCACTCAATGGCATTACTCAAGGCAAGTCAGACCCACGTTACGCTTTTGATTAAGTTGATTAAAAGTCACAAAAACCTTATGGTTAACAGGCAGTTAGCTAGTCAGTAGATGCCCCAAGGGTAGTGTCAGCCTCTATTCAGATTCTTGCGCCAATAAAATAATTGGTCAGCATGCAGCTAGTTCAAATGGTAGTACTCCTACCTTGGAGGTCAAGAAGTTATGGCTTCAAGTTTCCCTGCAAAGACTTGAGCACAGAAACCCAGGCTGACACATCTCAGTGTGGACTGAGGAAGTGCTACACTGTCCAAAGTGTCAGCTTTCCAACAAGACGCAAAACTGAAGTTGAGTCAAGCCTCTAAAATGGGCATACAGACCCCCAGCGCTATTTCAAATAAAACAGCAGCACTCTCTTCAATGTCCTGATCATTCTTCAAATAAGCAATACTAAAAATAGCAGAATTCCATGTTGTGGTAGCTTGTAAAGTACAAAATACTTGTTGTGTTTCCTACAACAGCAGCTGCACTTCCCGGATTATGAAGTGCTCTGGAATATCCAGAAGTTGTGAAAATTACAACAGAAGTGCAATTCCATCCATTGACTCCATCTATACTACCCACTGCCTCGGGAAAGCAACCAACAAAATCAAAGACCTCTCCTAATCTGGTTATACTTTCTTTCACCCTCTTCCGTCGGGCAAAAGATATAAAAGTTTTAATACATGCATGAACAGATTCAAGAACAGCTTCTTCCCCACTGCTATCAAACTTTTCAACGGACCTCAAGTTTTAATTATGATCTCTCTCTGCACGTTCTCTGTGGCTGTAACACTATTCTGCACTCTGTTCTGCTATCCTGATGCACTTTGTACAGTACAATCTGTGTAGCACATAAAACACGCTTTTCACTGCATCTCGATAGTGACAACAATAAATCAATCAACCAAGTCTTTTTGCAATGCCCACCACGTAATAGGGAAAAATTGATTTAAGCACTGGGTGGTTGTTTGCACGTTATAGAACTGTATTCCAGAATTAGTAATTTTAGGAGAGATGGGGAGAAAACTGAAAAAAAAATACACTTATCATGATTGCAGCACAAGTCACAAACTCACTATTTAAAGAACCAACAGGTCTTCTTTAGTCATAGAACTGTACAGCAAGGAAACAGACCCTTCAGTCCAACTTGTCCATGCTGACCAGATATCCTAAATAAATCTAGTCCCATCTGCCAGCATTTGGACAATATCTCTCTAAACCCTTCCTACTCAAATACTCATCCAGATGCCTTTTAAATGTTGTAGTTGTTATCAGACTCAGCCACTTCCTCTGGCAGTTCATTCCATACACGCTCCATTTGGGGCAGCACAATGTCTCAGTGGTTAGCACTGTTGCCTCACAGCGCCAGGGACCCGGGTTCAACTCTATCATCGGACGTGTGGAGTTTGCACATTTGCCCTACATCTGCGTGAGTTTCCTCCGGGTGTTCTGATTTCCTCAGTCCAAAGACGTGGAGGTAGGTGGATTGGCCATGCTAAATTACCCATGTCCGAAGATGTGCAGGCTAGGTCGGTTAGCCATGGAAAATGCGGGGTTCGAGGGACAGAGATAGTAGGAACTGCAGATGCTGGAGAATCCGAGACAACAAGGTGCAGAGCTGGATGAACACAGCAGGCCAAGCAGCATCATAGGAGCAGAAAGGCTGACGTTTCGGGCCTAGACCCTTCGAGGGACAGGATGGGTCTGGATGGGATGAGGGTTGCAGAATGGGCCGAATGGCCTGCTTTCAAACTGTAGGGATTCTATTCTATCTGCTATGTGAAGAAATTGCCCTTTAGGTCTCTTAAATCTTTCCCCTCTCAACTTAAACCCATGCCCTCTAGTTTTGGATTCCCTGGCCCTGGGGGATCCATGCCCCTCATGATATTATAAACCTGTATAATGGTCACCCCTCAGCCTCCGTCACTCGAGGGAAAATAGCCCCAGCCTATTCAGCCTCTCTCTATAGCTCAAACCCTCCAAACCTGACAACATCCTTGTCAAGAGATAGTAGGAACTGCAGATGGTGGAGAATCTGAGATAACAAGGTGTAGAGCTGGATGAACACAGCAGGCCAAGCAGCTTTCTGAAGAAGGGTCTAGGCTCGAAACATCAGCTTTCCTGCTCCTCTGATACTGCTTGGCCTGCTGTGTTCATCCAGCTCTATACCTTGTTATCTAACATCCTTGCCAATCTTTTCTGAACTCTTTCAAATTTAACAACATCCTTCCTGTAGAAGGAGACCAGAATTGAACACTATTCCAAAACTGACCTAACCAATGTCCTGTACAGCTGAAACATGACCTCCCAACTCCTATACTCAATGCAATGATCAATGAAGGCAAGAGTACCAAATGCTTTCTTCACTATCCTGTCTACCTGGGACTCCAATCTCAAGAAACTGTGAACCTGCACTCCAAGGTCCATTCGTTCAGCAACACTCCCCAGGACCTTACCATTAAGTATATAAGTCCTGCCCTAATGTGCCCTATCAAAATGTAGCACTTCGCATTTAAATTAAATTCCAACTGCCACACGTCAGGCCATCAGATCAAGGTCCTGTGTACTTAGGTAACTGGCCACTACACCCCACCTATTTGGTGTTACCTACAAATTTACTAACCATACCTCCTATATTCACATCCAAATCATTTATATAGATGGTAAAAAGCAGTGGACCCAGCACCGATCCCTGCGGTACACCGCTGATCACAGGCCTCCAGTCCAAAAAGCATCCCTCTACCACCACCCTCTGTCTCCTATCTTCAAGCCAATTTTGCATCCAAATGGCTAGTTCTCCCTTTATTCCATGTGATATAACCTCGTTAACCAGTCCACCATGCAGAACCTTGTCGAACGCCTTACTGAAGTCCACCACAGAGACAAAGTCCACCACAGAGACAAAGTCCACCAC